GCAAAATGCATGCTACTTAAGTAGCTATTTTTTACCGAGTGCGGTTTCTGCAGTAGGTTAAAAAGGAGTGCATTCAAAATCCGACGTCATGATAAGTCCGAAAGACCAGAGGATTATCCTGCATGCTAATCAATATTACAACCCCACTCAAGTAATCCTTTCTAATCTAAAATGCATTCCAGAATTTCGGCCAACCTTTTATGAGATCAGTCACGCACTGTACGCCCAATCACATGACCAACATTCAGCCAATCACCTCCTCCTGCTGACACAGACATTTACTCCCGCGTAAACAACACGCCGCGACTGACGCTCTCCTTGAACGGAGGTTTAGCTCTGTCGCAAGCCAAAAGCTAACTTACGGCAACCTGCCCCGTGTACAGAATAAACAGGTATTCACAGCTCTCTGACTTCTGAAATTAGACGAAACGAAATTATTGTGTGTGGTATGACTTGATCTCACATCCTTGACCGCCACAAACCCTTACCTCAGTCCTTACCATAAACTCTAGCCTTAAGTCCTAGCTTAACCATAAACCCTAACTGTGGCTCTTAACACCAGAAATTACTACTTACATTGTCCCTAAAATCTTACGTTAATGCTAAACCCTAGCCTTAACTCAAAACTTCAAACCCAAACCTTAAACTCTAACCATGACCTTAAATTTGAGGCCAGGAACGCACATATTACCATAGAGATACTAACATGACATGCATACGAAAGTGGTATAAGTAGGTGATTTATGGGTATAAAACTAGGTGGGGCCAAATATGCAATGCCTTCCGTCTGGAATGCCAGCTGTTTCATACGTCATTACGGATTCTCCGAGACCGTAAAAATGGATAAGGTAGAGTAATAGTCGCGTACGCGGCGTTACGAAATTTGGCACTTAAAGGAAAGAAAGTTAACGGCGATAAAGTCAAAACGCAAAGCGTAAAACACAAAAAATTCAAAATAATATCTCCCTGGAATCATCTCGAAGTACGAATAACAACCCTCAGGCACAGAGCGGATCCCGGGACGTACGTCGCGGTAGGCGTTCATCAGCATGGAAGAGAACATAAGACTGAAGAGGGTGGGCGCCAGTACGCATCCCTGCTTCACTCCGTCGGTCACTGCGAATGCCTCTGAGACAGCACCGTTGTCCGTGATTCGCGCCATCATACCGTCGAGCAGCTGCCGTACTATCTGAATGAGTCACTCGGACAGCCCAATTTCTGCATGATCTTCCATAGTCCTTCACGATTCATCGTGTCGAAGGCTTTCGTCAGGTCCACGAAGGTAGGGTACAGGTGGGTCCGCATCTCCTGACACTTCTCTTGAAGTTGACAGGCGGAGAAGATCATTTCCGTGGTCCCGCGATGACGACGGATGCTGCATTGGCTTTTCGGCAGAAAGCCCTCTTCCAGATGATTATTCAGACGATTGAGGAGGATGCGAGCGAAGATCTTCTCGTCGATGTTCAACAAGGAGATACCACGGTGATTGTCGCAGACTTGTCGGTTGCCTTTTCGCTTGTACAGATGCACGATGGTTACGTCCTTGAAATCTCGCGGGACTTCGCCTTGACGCCACATCTCCTGGAAGAGCTCAGTCAGGTGATCCATCAGTTGGGGACCTCCGTACTTTTAGACCTCAGCAGGTATTGCGTCCGA